GCAGGGTGAGGCCAGGGCACTGGGCGGAGGGGGGGGTGGGCGGGCCCAGCACTGTGCCCTGTCTCTGGGCACATTCCATCCACTTCCACTTCCGCACGAAGGCTCCACCCTACAGTCCCCTATGGGCGCCCCATGGTGAGCTGGTCCCTCGCCCTCAGCTCTGGTTTCCATGGGCCTGGAGTCCTTGGGAGGCGCCTGGGGTCAGGGCTGAGGACCACAGAGACCCTCAGCGGGTGTGGGGCGGGCAGAGGGCGGGCGGCCCCCCACTCTGTGCTCTTGGAAGACATGCGGGGCCCTGAGTTTGAAAGTGCGGGCGTGGGAGTCAGGCAGGCCTTGGATGTGGCTGACCGCTGCGGTGTGAGGGCAGGCACGTTTCCTAACGTCGCTGAGCCCCGTTAGACGCTGAGACCCAAGCCTGTGACGCAGCAAGTGGTAGGTGTCGCCTGCAGCCCGCAGTCAGGAATGTTAGCCCCGGTGGGGCGGGGCTTGATGGAACCGCCATTGTGTCCCTTCCTCCCAGCCACAGGGCTGCAGGGGGCGCCCCTGTGCGCGAGGTGGCTGAGTCCCGTGCTGAGGTGACAGGTGTGAAGGGGGCAGGTCCCCCTCCCTCCACGAGCCTCCCCGTCCAGCAAGGTGGCAGAGACAGCTGTGCAGGTTACTCCTGGGCAGGCACTGTGCCAGCAGGGTGAGGTGGTTTCCAAGTCGTGTGCAGCCACTTCTGGCTTAGCTCATCGGGGAGGCCTGCCTGGAGGAGGTGCTGTTGGGCAGGGCCTTGAAGGGCGAAGGAAACCGAGCATTGCAACTTTTCTCAAAAGAGGTGCTGCAGTCATTCAGAGTGACAGAGTAGGACAGGTGAGGGGACAGGGAGACTTCGGGTGCTAGAGCACGTATATTCTAGGTCATCCAGCGTCTCAGAGGAGAGGCCCGAGAGCACCGGAGCCACCCACGTGTTGGAATTTCTTGCAGAATCTGTGTGTGCCGCTTTCAAATGATGTCCTAAAATCCCCGGCATTTAAAACGCCGAGACGAACAATGCTGGTTTCTCGTGCTGAGAGGTTTGCTGGCC